CACGTTGGCCTGAGTCAGCAAGAATATGCCAAGCTGTGCCTCGGGTCCTCCAAGGGGCCTGTGACTCTAACGCTGCACTTGGGAAGAAGAAAGGGTGAATGCCCTGAGTGTGTCCTTCCCTAATGGTCTGGAGAGACTATTTTCCTGCCCCTCTTGTACATAATGACCTGAGGTGGTCTCAGGTGTGGGGGAGGGGTGCAAGAACAGGTGAGCGGCCCAGTTCCAAATCCCCGTTCGTCCCATTCTCCCCTTAGGGAAGGCAGGAGCCCTAGGAGGTGGGCACGTGGCGGCCCTGTGCCCATCCACAGGGAGGTTCCTAGGAGGCCGAGCTGCATATGGCCCAGATCCCGGCCTAGCCCTGAAAGTACTGTCCTTGTAGTGACCTGGGCCCTCACTCCTCTTGCTGGATCCCAGTGCCATCACAGTTGTCAGAGGTACTCGAGAATCCGGAGGTCTCCAGAAGAGCAGCTTGGACCTCTTTGCCAGGACCACTCGAGTGGGAAAAAGGCTCATCTGCCAGTTGGGTGGGCGGTGTTTGTACAGGGTGCCAGGGACAAGAGGATGGGTAGCACACTGGCCCAGACCTGCAGGGGGCCTCCCTGTGAGATCTGTCACTGGCAATATGGACCACCCCTGCCAGTGTCTGAGGTTTTGCCCCAGGCTGAAGGCGGCGACCCCGACCCCATCTCTGCATGTTGTCTCCGCGACAAAGACTTTGCTTGCGCTGGAGGCGTGGATAAGACTCAGGCTGTGGCCTATAATCAGCCTTATCTGCCCATCTGCTGAGAGTGATTCCTTTCAGTGTCTTTCCTCAACATGTTCACAGCGAACCCCAACAGCCTTCCCCCACAGAGACCTCGACGCCAAAGCACCGGTGAGTGTCAGTCACAAGAGGCTAAGTCCAGTTTGGCCAAAAGGCTGATGTGGTTTGACTGCAAATTCAGCTTTTATTTTTTTAATGTTTTATTTATTTCTAGGAGAGAGAGAAAGAGACAGTGTGAGCAGGGGAGGGTCAGAGAGAGAGGGAGACACAGAGTCTGAAGCAGGCTCCAGGCTCTGAGCTGGCAGTCAGCACAGAGCCTGACGCGGGGCTCGAACCCACGAACCGCGAGATCATGACCTAAGCGAAAGTCAGACGCTTAACCGACTAAGCCATCCAGGCGCCCCGCAAATTCAGCTTTTAAACTGAGCTGAAGCACTAAGAACATCAGAGTTTAAGAAGCTGAGAAATTTAGGTAAGAACCAAGGAATCCATGTTTCCCTGCCACCTGAAACTTGGCTGTTTCCTAGGAGCTGTTGGGTCACTCCTCACACTTTCAAGTGCCACCCTCCTGTGTTTTCAGGAGTGCCAGTATGTCTCTGAAATGGCATTCCTAACAGTGACATTGATTCTGTCATCATGGTGACAGAACTCTCACGTGAACAGTCATCATGGTTAGAAGACCTTTCCAGTTGGATTTTATTTTTTAAAATTATTTTTTAATGCTTATTTCTGAGAGAGAGAGACAGAGTGCAAGATGGGGAGAGACACAGAGAGGGGGAGACACAGAATCCAATGCAAGCTCTGGGCTCTGAGCTGTCAGCACAGAGCCTGATGCGGGGCTCCAAATCACGGACTGTGAGATCATGACCTGAACCAAAGTTGGACGCTTAACTGACTGAGCCACCCAGGCGCCCCTCAGTTGGTTTTTATATTTGGGAAGGGGATAGTGAATTCCTTCCTCCCAATCCTGCCTTGACGCCTTGTGGGCAGTGTCTGGTGGAAGCACGAGGAAATCGGTTGAGAGGGGTGGGTGTGCGGGCCATGGTCTGGGCCAGGGTCTGTGCATGGGTCTGTGCACAGTGCCATTGTCCACATTGGGGGCTGGGTCATCCTGGGTGTGCGGGCTGGGCGCTGCAGGCTGTTTAGCAGTATACCTGATCTCTACCCCTGGGTGGCAGTAGCATCCCCTGCCTGCGCCACTCCCCAGTTGGGACAAATGAAATGGGTCCAGACCCTGCCACTTGTCCCCCTGAAGGGGACCACCCTGGTGTGAGGGAGTGTGAGGGGTTACCCTAGGTGAGAACCACTCTCCTTGGGGACTTATTGAGGCCACTTCTTTTATTTTTTTTACATTTATTTGTTTTGAGAGAGAGAGAGAGAAAGAGGGAGAGGGTGCCAGCGTGAGTGGGAGAGGGACAGAGAGAGGGAGAGAGAACCCCAAGCAGACTCCACGCTGAATGTGGAACCTGACACAGGACTCAGTCTCCTGACCATGAAATCATAACCTGGGCTGAAATCAAGGATCTGATGTTCAACCGACTAGGCCACCCAGGTGCCCCTAAACAGGTGATTTCTAAGGCTTTGCTGGGGAATAAGATCTCAACTCTTGGTGCCCCTCTAAGAAAGCTCTCTTGTGGGTGGCTGCTTCATCTGATGTTACCTAACCACATGAGAGCTGATGTCCATCTTTGGGGTGATGACCCAGAGCACCCGGTCAGTCTCTGTGGCATTGGTGTATCCGTGTTTCATTCGGTGACTCTTGTGATGAGTGTGAACCACAATCATCCCCAAGCACTAAAGGGCACTCAGGCAGAAAGTGGTGTGCATGCTTCCATGGAATATGCCGTCCAGATGAGACCGTGATAGTGCTTCTTTTCCTGGGATTGGCCAGTCAGTGGGTGAAAGGCTCCAAGTCTTCCACCCTCCCTCCCGTCACTGTTTGGCACCTTCCCCCAAGAAGGGACCAAGGGAAATGTACCCTAGAAGAGATGTTGGGGGTCCACTGAAGAACAGAGCTGACCCCAGCCCAAGGTGAAGGAGGTCTGGGCAATGCTTTGTGGGGAGTGAGTCCACGCACTCCGAATCACCTGGCCCCACACCACATCTCATACTTTGGAGCACACTTCGCACAGCCCTCCCTATGCAACCCTTGCTGGTTGCATTGCATTTTCACTTTCCTAGACACACTCACCTTTGATGGTGCCCTGGGAAGGAAAGTAAAATACAGTGTTCTGGGCCAGCGTGGTGTCTCCTCTGGTTCTGTGAGAAGGGGTTGTTTCTAAGACTTTATCTGGCCAGCCCAGACCAGCCCATACAAGACTATATTGCTGCTCAGTTCAGCCTCGCTTGAGCTCAGACTGCTGCCAGGTGCCCAGCCCAGGAGGGCTGGAGGCCAGTCACTTTCCATCCACGGAGGGAAGGGTCAACACATAGGCATGACTGAGTGGTGTGAAGGAAGCGCGGGATTGGTCTGCTAATGACATCATGCTGTCTAGGTTTTGTAAATAGGACCATACCCTTTTTGAAAAGCAGACACTGTGATACTACAGTTCCGTACGTCCGCCCCTTTCTGGATAGATTGACATGTCAGCGAGTTTCACACGGGTTTAAGTTTACAGGAAAGTGGTTCTCAAATCAGGATGGATTTTGGGATCAGGATGCATATGGAAGTCCAAGATGAACATGAAAAAAAATGTCCCTTTTAAGGGCTCAGGATTTCACAGGTTACTTAATCTTAGAAAGGGGACAAGCACCCATTTGGTAGCATCAGTTTATAAGGGAGCAGGCTGGGGCAGGATAAATTTGCTGCAGCCACATCAGGGCTAGACTCAGGGTGATGGGGGTCCTGTCATCCATCGCCATGTGTCCATCCATTGTGGGCTGTTCCCCCTTCTCAGGGGGACTCTGGGCCTGATGTTCAGAAAGGAAAACCGTCGGTGTCTTTAGGTTCTAGTGGATGGCTGCTTGTGCAGACAGACGCTCCCCCTCCACCTGACTTCGGAGCCCGTCTCGTGTCTATGCCCAATTATTGCTATGGTGAGAGCATGGACACTTGTTTCCTATGCTCCTTAAGACCAACACCCTTTAACGGAGCTCCTGGATAAGAACGTGCATTACTTATAAGCTGGAAAGCCCAGCGACCAGAGGTTTCTTCTCAAGTTGAACCATGACACGCTGAAATGTTTAGTTCAATTCGAAGGAGGAGAAAATGAAGAAAAGGAAAAATTCACCAGATCCTGTACCTGCAGTGAAAGCCAAACATAAATCCTGTCATCCAGGCACCAGGGAGCAGCCCCTTAAACTGGAAACCTGTAGGACTCTGGCAGCGACTGTCCACACCCACATCTGGGTGTTGGAGACCAGTGAGGGTGCTTTTAGCCCTCTTGCGAGGTGAGACTTGATCTCTTCTCGTGTATAAAGTGAAGATCCTGTTATCTAAGGACACCAACAGGACAGGGAAATGTGCCTGGATGTCTGGAAAAACATTGTCACTGTCATCCTTAGGCCACTGATGCTAGGTTCTTGGACCTGTCCAGTGCCTTAAGAAGTCTTTTTAACGAGTGGATGTTGAACACGGGAGCAGATTAACTGACTATCCACTGGGTAATGCATTATGCCAGGAGTGGTGTTCCATTCAATTCTTTACTGCGCAAGCAAAAGAGGGCTACCCAACCGCTAAGAAAGAAACATCACAGAGGCCACAAGCACTGGCATTCAGCAGGAAATGGCTCCTTTTCTGATACATTTTATTCACCTGCCTGTTTTCTGACAAAATGATCACCTGCAGGAGTTGTAGTGTGCTTAGATGGGGCACCCTGAGGGCCATCAGTAGGTGGCAGGTAATCCGGGAAACAGTGGCAGTCCCAATAGCTATGGAATGGACCCGGGTGGTGAGGAATCACAGTCACAGAGGCGGCAGGCCCAGCAGCCACGACAGACACCCAGGGGTGGCACAAGGGTAGCAGCCCAGCCACGGAGAGGGGTGCAGTTGGCACATGGAGGAGCGCAGGAGGCACAACAGCAAAGCCCACCACTGGCCCATAGGAATGCACGTGGGCAGAAGGCAGTGTGAAACAGACCAGGGGGAAGGCTGCAGGCATGGCCACGTCAGCGATGAGAGGGTCAGGAGCCTGGGCGCCCTCGGGCTGGCCATTAGAGAGCCAGCCTCCTGCAGCATCTGGATCAGTCAAGCTGGGCCTGGCTGCGGTCCCTGGATTGCCTGGAGGCGCAAACTCACTCTTGACCAGGGGCAGTAGGGCTGTCAAACTCTAGGCTGCTTGCTGGCTCCATCCTGTCCTCATGAGAGATGGGGAGTTCCTCTGGTGGCTTGGTGGCTACAGGTGCTGGGGGAATTCCCAGGGCTTCAGGCCTGCTCTCTGCCTGCCTTAATGCAGATTTAATGCCCACTCTCCTCTTCATCCTCACAAAGTGAGGGCAGTCTCTCTTAAGCAAGGGACTGCTGTAGAACTGTAACTGAGGTGTAAAATTGAAAGAGGAAAAGAAACCCCCAGTCACAACAGAGTTGATCACAACCAGCACCAACATCCTAGGCCCCTGTGCTGCCTAAGCCAGCCATCCGGAGACCTCTTTGGAGAAGGTCACACAGTCCCAACGGAAAGCTGTACGCTAGCCTGCCCATCACCATTCACTAACTTACGACCCACAAATCACCCTGAGACAAGGACTACAAGGGGCCAACCAGGCTAAGAGTACAAGTTGGACAAAGGGCGACTTGGAGTCTGCAGACGGGGAGAGATGTGGAGGCTGTATGAGCAAGTGTCAGCTGGCAACAGAATCGCCCCGTTGCCAGGAGTCACTGGCTCTTGGCCCGCAGGGGCCCACTAACCTTGGGAAGCATGCCCATTTAGACAACCTTCAGGAGGCTTCCAAGAGTGCTTGGGGGCTGGCACCCCCAGACCAGCCTGGGGACACTGCTTTCACCAAAACAGACCAGTACACACCCTTCCCCCCCAGGTACACTTTAGAGCTATGGGCGTCATGCGTGCACACATCTCCTGGTGACGCTTGTCCCTGAGCAGGAGAGTGTGAAGATAGAGTTTCCCTGTTTTGGCTATTGAGACTGCTGCTATGAACATTGGGGTACATGTGCCCCTCTGCATTAACACTCCTGTATCCCTTGGGTAAATTCCTAGCAGTGCTATTGCTGGGTCATAGGGGAGTTCTAGTGTTAATTTTTTGAGGAATCTCCACAGTTTTCCAGAGGAGCTGCACCAGCTGACATTCCCAACAGTGTAGCAATATGGATGTAACTAGAGGGTATTATGCTGAGTGAAATAAGTCAGGCAGAGAAGGACAGATACCATATGTTTGCACGTACAGGATGATTAGGAGGAACTTAATGGAGGACCGTGGAGGAGAAGAAGGGGAAAAATAGTGGGGGAGAGGGAGGGAGGCAAACCATGATAGACTCTTGAATGCTGAGAACTGAGGACTGATGGGGGTGGGGGGATGGGGAATGGGGGGTGATGGGCATGGAGGAGGGCACTTGTGGGGATGAGCACTGGGTGTTATATGGAAACCAACTTGGTAATAAACTATTAAAAACAAACAGAAAAAAAAAAAGAGTTTCCCAAGTTTCATTGAGATGGGACTGGCAGGCAGTGATCCATTTAGGGCCCACAGAGTAATGCCTTCACTTACATGTACTGTGGAGTGATGGCCACAGTACACTCAGGGGATGCCCATCACCTCACATAGATGCCAAACCAAAAGAAAAAATAAACAGGAATAAAGAAAAAAGAAAAAGAAAGGCAAAAAGGAATGGCCGTTTTCCATTGTGATGAGAACTCTCGGGACTTACTCTGTTAAATCATGTGCCAGCACCTCACCTTGCAGCGTGTGCCCTCATCATCACGTGCTGTGTCTTTGAAGAAAGCGCCAGGGACACACTTGGCACTATCTGGAGCACTTTCCCCATATTCAGTCTCCACCACCGCTGCCACCGCCGCCACCCAGAGGGGGACATGTGCACCAAATTCCCCTTCAGGGGTCCTTGAATTTCCAGCACATCGGACCTCACCACCCCAGAGCCTGGTGGCTCAGCCCCTGTCGGGGGTGGGGTCACCCACCCTTACCTTGATCAGTACCTAGATGGGGTCTCCAGGGAATAAGTTGGTCAGGCATGCAGATGGCAGGACATCCTGGTAAATTCTGCTGAATCAATAGAGGTTGAGCTGGAGGATGAATTTCTTCATACAGTCTGTTTCAATCACTTTGTTCAGGCCAGGCCTCTGCAAAATCTCCTTCTGAACAGTTTCTTGTTGATGCCTATGCAAATCCCATTGTCCCACCAAACTAATGCAAACTGATTGCTGTTGACAATCTTCCACAGCTTCTTGGGGAAGGGCAGGCTGAGGAGATTGCCTGCTCCCAAGGACAGGGCATCACAGACGGCGTGTGGTCTTTTGAACAAAGGCTCCTGGGTCAAAGCTTGCAACGTGTTTCCTTCAAGCAGCAGCAGGAAGCCAGGGAGCCCAGCTGATACCAGGTGGGCCAGGGTGAGGGGAGGGTCTGCTGGGGGAGCATAGCTCTCTGAGCCAGTTGCAAGAACCCCTATTTCTGGAGGAAATGGTACCATCCCAAAGCTGGGACCCTGACCTGTCAGATGATTTTTCTAGAGAGCCATCCTCAGTGGTGGCATGTCCTTCCTTCCTGTAAACATGAGAGTGTGGCATGGCCAGCAGCACCCCTTGGTAAGAGTGCAGCTGGGGACATCACAAAGGTTCTCAGGTTACTTGGGGGTGACATCATAACACAGCTAGCAGGTGACCTGATCAAGGGTGAGCCACACAAGTGACCTGTCAGCACACCAGCATTCTGGTCACACAAAGTCATTCACCCAGAAAACCAACACTCATCTACAGGTTTAAAGTAACAATGTCAAACATGGGGCACAAGCCAACAACTCTCTTTGTGTTCTTGATCTCCCGGGGCCCAGCTGACCCACACTGACATGCTGCCCAAAGAAAGTCAGAGCTCGTTTTCTGAGGCCATGAGCCTTGAGAGCCCCAAACAAGGTGCATGCTTTCAAACACACAGCAAAGGCCAACACGGGTGTCCACGGCCAAGGGAGTGGCCACATGGTCCTTTCAGCATTGTCACAGCCAGCATGGTGAGGTCCTCAGAGACCCTCCCAATTCACCCATGCCTGGGTCACCTGAAGGCACATGGAGATTGCTGCTTAGGTGAATGGATTAGCCAAATGTCCCACTACTATCCTGCACACTGATGAGGGGAAGGCGGCTTTCTTCTTGCCTTTCCTCAGCCTGTATGTTGCCCCCCTCCACACCCCACCAATGCCTCCCAGGCAGATTCCCGGGCCCATCAGGACAGGGCATGAGCCACTGGACTCATGCCAGCTTACTTTCCTTGACTGACGTCTGCAGGGACACCGTCCTGGTTTGTGCCCAGGGTTTGAGCTCTGCAATCCTTCTCTGGGCTGTGGGGCTGGAGAATCAGTAAGAGGCGGCCATGCAGAGAAGCCTCTATTGCACATTCTCTCCACGTGCAGGGCTACCTACGCTGAAGACCCATCACACACTCTCAATTCTGGGCAGGAACTCAATGATCTTCCAGAGATTTCCATGAAGCAGAAACATCTCCAAACTCAAGGGCATTTTGTCTAACAGCAAGTCTGAAATATGGTCTGTTGACTTTGGCTACTTGCAGGCAAACCATGGGCTGAAAAGCCATCTGAGTTAAGTGCCTGGTAAAATGCAGAGACAGCTAGGTGAGCAAGACAGAAATCACAAGGTATTTTAAATGTAAGCAATACTCAGCTGCTGGTGTCACCGAGCAATGCCTCAGGACCACTAAAAAGCCCATTTCAGTTTTAGACTCTCTTGGGACTCAAGAGTACTCTCGTAGGGCTCCTAAGCTGTAACAATGATGGCACGGGTTTACCCAGCCAACAGCCGAGTCTCCATGATGTCCGTCTCCCTCTACACTCTCTATGTTCAGGCTGTGCCTGAAGACTCATTAGAGATGTTCACCCTCCCACATGCGCCGTGGCCACCTGTGACCACTACAGGGTGTTTCATGCTGGCTGAGAAGAATCCAAGCGTCCTGGGCCATATCTCATGGAAGATGCACACAGTACCATCGAAAAGGAGGAACCAGTTTATTGAATAACTGCAGGGGGCAAAAATAGTGGGTTGAGCTACATTTGTTACACAGCAAGCAGGAAAGGCTTTGCCATTCCCATTCCCCCTGTCCCCTAGAGACAACAGGCTTGCTGACAGCCGCTGCCAGGCAGTCTTGTGTGCTGAACATTGGTTGAGCCTGACTGGGACACGTTATCAGCTGCCCCCATTAAACCCTTCCCTCTCTGGGGCAACGATGCCAGTGCCCCTTTTCCCTCCTTTCACAAACGGCTACTTTTTCTCAGGCCAAAGACTCTTATCCTGGAAGATCTGCTTTCTTCTGCTTTGCCTGGGGCTCTACCAGCAGCTCTTGGAACAAGTGTACTCCTAGTCAAAAGCACAGGCCAGCTGGAATGGCTTATGTTGGGGGGCCAACAAAAGGACTCAGACCTTAACAAATACACAATTCCAGTGGCTATTTCCAGTTTCAGCAACTTTCTCCAGTATTCTAGTTTCAGCTCATGCAAATCTTCCCAGAATGTAGGAAAAGCCCAAACCATCTCTTGCTTATTGTGGCCGTTCTGGCAGTAGCAGCTACCATGTGTGTGGAGAATTTCAACGGGGGGTGATGATGATGGCCCATTAAGGGGTGACACCCCCTGGGCAGGACACGTGTGCCAGCAGCTTCTGCTTCTGCAAGAGAACACGCATGTCTCCCAAACAAGCTCGTAAAAAAATACTTTAACAGAATATACTGTACAGAACTAGGATTTAACACGGTATATTACAATGCTAAAATATTTGTATAAATACTATACAGGCACAGAGTCACTCCATTGGAAAGGGCTCACCGATGGGGCTGTTAAAAACTGCTGTCAGCATTGCCCAAAGAGAAACGACTTCCACAGCAGGAACACAAACAGTAATGACGGTGTGGGTACACACGTGGTGCCACAGAGGTGTATTTACAGTTCCTATGGACTACACTGCAACAGGAGAATCTAAGCTATGTGGTGAGGCTGGCTTGGTTTAAAAAACCATTTTCAAAGAACACCTTCAATAGGAATTTTAGCACTTTGAAAACCAGTTCATTCTCTGGCCTAAGCAGCCAATCCCTAACAGATTTAAGTCAGCTCCTAAGGCGCCTGCCCAAAGGGGATTGCTTTCCCTTTCTAACACACGCTTCCTCCATCACGCCCATGTCCACGTCCACTGACATATGCCCGAGCCCAACCCACACTGCGGGTGCCAGTCACCTGCCATTTGTGCATCCCATCAGGGTGAGTCACTGGTAGGCATTGAGTGCAAACAAGGCATGAGATGGAAGTCCCCGGAGCCCCAGCTCAGGCTCCAGTTCTGGGTGGGGTCAACAAAGAGGCAGAGGAGGGTAGGAGACAGCGTGCGTCCCAGTGGTCCGCTTGCATTCTGTTCAAGGACGTGGTGTCTAATCTGGCATTTCAATATTCAGTTTGGGAGGTGGCAGGACATACTTCCCAGGGCTCTGGGTGATAACTACCCTGGTCTTCTTCCGAAACATTGGAGCAATTTTAGGAGGTTCTGGAACTGGGGTTTCTTCGGTTTCCTCGTTATCTTCATGATGGAGGTCATATGAAATGTTTCCATATTCTCTCAAAAATGGGAAGATTTCAAGCAGAAACTGACAGAAATCCTTGCGAATACCAAACCACCCTGAAAAAAGAAGTTTGAAAAAACTTTTTCAAACACTAGCCTCCACTGAATTTCATGTAACTTTTCTTTCCTGAATGTGATGTTTTACTTGTACAGTTTAATGCTTCATCCTGACATCTTACAAATGAAGACAGAGCAAGGCCTGAATACCCACTAAGGACAAGAAGAAAGGCCTGTGGTTCTGTGGCTCTCCAAGTGGGGCTCTCAGACCAGCAGCAACCACATGTATCCCTGCAACCTTGTCAGAGATGGGCATGGGCCTCCTGGGACTCCCATGGCTGCTCCAGTGAGAGGGCTGCTCTAGCAAGTGTCAAATCTCTATGGCATCAAGACTATGTCAACAACCTCTCATCTTCCCTGCCTGGGATACACTCACATGTGACAAAGAATGTCAAGGATGTCATTCAAGAAAGGGACTTCTTTCAGCATCTGGCAGGTATGTTGGTCCAGGCCGGCAGGCAGCCTGAGCTACTTCTCTAAGTTACTTCTCTGAGACCTGCTCTTGCTGTCTGTACCACGGGACCATCCATCGGCTCAGTACTGGCTCTCCATAGGGCACAACGCCTCCCACCCCCCAGTTCCCCTGGCTTCTAGAATGGTGTGCTCTGGGGCTACCTGCAAAGGGGCTCACAGTCTAGTGAGGAGGGAACTTTTGTCAAGGGTCACTTCAAAACCGAATGTGCCATCGTGCAGGTGGAGAAAAGAGAAAGTAGAGCACCTCTGACAAGACACAGCAATGTGTCACTGCGGAGAATGAGGAGGACACAGAACCTAAAAGGACTCCCAGGGTTTGGTGGGTGACATGGATCTTCGTCTAATCCTTGGGAGCCCCTGAAAAGCAGGTATCTTGATCCCCATGTTGGAGCAGAGGGGTAGATGCTACCTACCATGGTAAGTCCTACCTCAAATGGCAGAGTGGACCACTAAGAAGGCCATGGTGCGGGGCAGGGAAAGCAAGGTTGAAAGCTCACCTTTTCCTTTAAAAATTCCAGGCCTTTCTCAGGTCTAGATTTCTCATGCAACCTCCCTTAGCTCAGACCCTCAGGCTCATCTTTTCACAGAGTGGGACACACACACACACACACACACACACACACCCCACAGGTCAAGGGCTTCTGAAGTGCTGAGTACATACAGTGGTTTCCTCCCTTCTGTCCAAATGTGGTTGCCATCAGAGTGATCAAGGAGAGCCAAAGGGGGACAAATATTGGGATACAAGAGAATGCGTTGTGGCCGTCCAGTTTGTGAACCAACAGGATCTAATAAGGAAAGAGAAATAGTTGAGCTTCTATTGGTAAAGCATCTGAGAGTGGACGATGTCTGAAGCCAGTCCACCCTTCCCTTGTCAGGTCTCAGAAGGGGGAAAATTAGCTCCACAGGAGACTATGAAACCCTCTATTCTGCAGGGCAGAATTAGATAAACTTTCATATCCTTCTTCAGGACTAAGCAAAATCTATCCACTTGGGACGTTTCCAACACCAACATTGTTACAGGAGGCTCCTCCTGGTGTTTGTTCGAAAGAGTCAACAGTGCCAATTCTATAATTCTGCACATAACTCAAATATGAAAAATACCCAACTTTCTCTTTCTACATGTAAACAAATCAGTACATACCCATGCATCATGGCTAGAGAGACTTCTCACTGCCAGCCCCTCAAGAGAAAGGTCACTCTAATTTGACCATCATCCTCTCCATGTGCTCATGGTACTCCATGCTCCAGGTAGAGCAGGCCATCTTGACAGGCATGCAGAGTACACTTGCAGGGAAGGGTGGGACTCAGGGACTGAAGAGTTTTGGTATCAAAG